CCCAGCCTGCAACCCTAGCCTAGGCTGGCCTGTCTGTTCCAGCGCCAGCCTGCCCAATCTGACCACCAGCCACATGCAGGCTCACCTGACATTTATGGAGCCTTCAGTTCAAAAGGGAACAGCCCCACCCACGCAGGAGACACCAAGGCAGGACTGCCACCTTTGAAACTCAGGGTCACAGGGACCTGGGCTCTCCTTGCTGGCTTATTGCCCGAGCCCCCTGGAACAAGAAACCTAGGGCGCCCACCCCAAGGAGGGGCATACGTGACCCAGACAGTGAGAACCACAGAGCGGGTGGAGGGAACCAGTCCCCGTGGAGTCAGGAAGAGAGATGCAGAAGGGGAGGGGGTGTGCAGGACGTGACCTCTGTTGGGAGCAGGAAAATGCCCTTTCTACCCTTCTCGTGTTCTTACAGCCGGACTAATAATAAAATTGACGCAAGACCAGATTAATAGGAGAAACACCCAGTTGAATATGTACGTATTCGAGATCATAGAGAAATGATGCTGGGACAGGGAACAAAGCAGGCATATATATCTTTTACACAAAGAAACAATAAATTTGTGGGGAATTGACAGGACAAAGAAACTTAGATTTGAGGCACGTAATTAGGGAGGAATTTAAGCAGAGTTGAGGCTTGAGGCAGTAAATTAGCAAAGTTTGTTTATGCAGGCTTCTCAGCCCTGAATTCCTCCTCGCTCTGGTGATAAGGATGCAGGGAGAGCACCTTTCACATGGGAGATTTATTTCCTGCACGTAGGGGGAACAGAGTGAGGGGGGTCAGAATGCCCTTTCTGCTTCTCAAGTGACTGTAATTCAAAATAAGCAGTATGCTATTGTGGGATATTTGGGGGTGGCCTGCCCTGGGCCCCAGCCCCCCCTGGGAAAGGCCGGGTGAGTTCTAAGCAGGGGAGTGGGGCGCCAGCCTGGGGAAGTGGTGAGGGCTGGGGATCCGTGGGAGGCAGAGGCAATCCTTCTGGGAGAAGCAGGGAGCCCCAGGCAGGAGCCGGAGTGGGCCGGCGGCAGGGGCCTGCCCGGGAGAAATGTTTGGTATCTCCCATGTTGCAAAAACAGCCTGCGATACTGCAATTTCTAAGAAATATATATATTTGGTCTTCGTCCATAGTTTCTGGCTCACAGCTCTTAAAACCCTTGGAATTTCCTGAGTGATAAGAGCAAAGGGAACATCTTTTCTTACAACATTTGGTCTCCTCCTCAGTTGCCGAAATCACTTCAGACCCATGAAGGTGACATGGGTGTCTTGTTAGTCATACAAGCCCCTTTCCATCACAACTGGGTTTATGTGAATGAGGTGACTTTTGGAAACCCCCTAAAGATGGGGGCTCAGGGGAACCAACCCTGATTACAGGGCTGGAACTTTCAGTCACCCTGCACCTCTGAGGCGGGGAGAGGGGCTGGAGGTTGAATCCATGGTCAATGGCCAATGATTTAATCAATCACGGCCGTGTGATGAAGCCTCCATAAAAACCCAAGAGGATCAGACCAGGAGAGCTCCCGGGTTGGTGAACAGGGCACATTTGGGGAGAATGGCTCCCGGAGAGGGCATAGAAGCTCCACACTGTGAGGAAACTGGGACCCCTCTCCCTCATCTAACAGGCAAGTCTAGCAAGCCAGTTGCACAGACTTAAGTCGATCCAGAATACCATGCTGTCCTGTGGAGCAGTCGTGCAGGCCTCCTGCGCCTGTGTGCAAATGACCTTGCAACCCCTGGTCTCATGAGTGAAGACGCCAGCTGGACAGACCCACAGCAGGAAGAGATAATGGGTACCTCGCTCCCTCATCGCCCAGCTGCATTTCTTAGAGACTGAAGGAAAACATGAGGACCCTGGTCCTTGCCTCCCTTCACACACAGATAACACCAACATCACAAGCCTTGTTTGACGTATAACAAAAGCTCCTGGTCTTGTTCTCCTGGAAGTAGATGACTATTCGACGTGGGAGTCCTTTCCTGCACGGACACCACTTTGTTAAAAGCAATAAAAACTGCGCTCAGCCCTGTAGCCTGGGAGCAGTTCCTCAGAATACCCCGTTGAGTTATTTCCCTAGACTCAAGTTCCTCACCTTGAGTATCGAATAAACTCCTTTAATTGACCTTTACCTAGACTCTTTATTTCAGTCGACAGCCCCCTTTCCCATACGTGCCCTGTGCACTCTTCCATCTGGCTGTTCCCGAGTTACATTCTTTTATAACAAACCGGTGATCCAGTGAGTAAAATGTTTTCCTAAGTTCTGTGTGCCGCTCTAGCAAACTAATTGAACCCAAGGAGGGGTCATGGGAACCTCTGATTTACAGCTGGTTGGTCAGAAGTACAGGTGACAACCGGGACTTGTGACTGGGGTCTGAAGCTGGGGGGGGGTGGGCAGGCTTGAGGGACTGAGCCCTTTACCTGTAGGATCCGACGCTATCCGGATCCGACGCTATCCAGGTAGATAGTGTCAGAACTGAGTAGAATGGTAGGACACCCAGCTGGTGTCCGGGACTTGCTTGGTGTGGGAAAACCTTCCCCCCGTACTGGAATATAATGATCAGAATGCTTATAGGGGCCATGAATCTCCCTGGACCCTTCTAGAATATTCTTTGTTTCTTACCATCTCACAGGGGTTTCAATGTGAGGAGATAGGTTTCTAGGCACATGTGTGTGCAAACAAAAGTGTCTCTGAGCCTCCGTCTGTGTCCCCTGCCGCCTCCTGCCTGTGCATAGGGCACACCTACTGTATACATGGCGGGTACACACACGTAGTTATGCAGGTTTTTGCAGCCCAGTGCAAATTAGAGTCAACACAGGCGGCCAGGAGCAATGGTTGTGCTCGCTTTTACAAAGCAGTTCAGACTCAGTTGCAGGTATCAATAAAGATAAGGGTGAGGGGCTTCTCAGTTGCCCCACACACCCCTCCAGCTCCCCATCTCCCTCGTTGCTTTCCAACCTGGCTCCCTGGTTCCCCAGGGCCACGTGCGAGGCATCACAGCCTGGGGGGTGAGACTCACCTCTGCGCTCAGAAATTCCAGGCCTGATGGGGAGGAATCCAGCTGGCAGATAATCAGCAAGGCGGGGACTGAGTGCTAAGGGGGTCTGCACCGTTGAGACCCCAGCCCTGCCCCCACCTTCATTGAGGACCTCAGATCCCTGCTCAGATCTGTCCCCCTCCCCTTGGAGTGGCAGCGCCCACCAAAACCAGCACAGTGCCCACCAACCACCCTCTCCCATCAGCCACACACAACTTTAGACCCAACTTTCAGCCACATCTCTGAGCCAACATCACACCTTCAGGAAATAGGAAGCCTTCTGGCCTCCCAGCCTGGGGACCCCCATTCTCCAGCTCCATCTCTCTCCCCACCACCCCGCAGGCCCTCTCCAGCCTCAGTCTGCCCTGGCACAGTGCTGTGCAGCTCTGTCCCCTCCAGCAGGTCCCCTTCCACACCCAGCCTGGACCCCCTCCATCCCACACAGGGCCTGGAGAACAGCAGGGGACAGTCCTACCCTCCCCTGTTCCTCCCCCAGCAGGCAGGCTGACCCCCCATCACAGCTAACCTGTCCCCAGTGCCCACTCCTCATCTTCAGGACTGTCATCCTCAGTGAACCCACTTGTGTCATTTCCATCATCAAACACACCAAGAAGGAGGGCCCTCCAGCCCCTCCCCATGCCAGTCCCTCAGAGGGACACAGTGCAGGCCCCTCCGCGCTCCCTCTGTTCTCCGCCTGGGGCAGCCACCAGGTGCAGCCTCCGTGCCAACCTGCCTGGGCTCCCAACCCCATGCTACAGGCCAGCTCCCCCAGCTCTCTGGAGCAGGGAGACCTTCCCCTGCTTCCCGGGGTGTGGGGGGGGGGTTCTCCTTTCCCTGCAGCTTGCTTCACATGTTCCTTCAATGCCTCTCCTGCTCTGAAGAGCATTTGAGGCGCTGTGGGGTGCAGAGAGAAACAAGCCAGTCTGGTGGGGGAGAGGCAGCTAAAGGATGGAGGAGAAGCCGGAAGCCAGGCGGCAGAGGAAACCCAGGAAGAGTGGGGCCGGGGGGGGGGGAGGGGGAGGCTGCAGCCCTCTCCTTCCCACAGGTCTGCCTGCTGTGTGTGGGGGAGGGTCAGGGGGCTCCAAATTTGGCCTTATGGAGGGGGTCCCCTGAGTGGGGGCTGTGGGGAGGCTGGAGCCGGGTGGGGGTAGGGGGCGGCAAGGCCAGGACAGGCCAGTGGCTTCACTGGAGGAGGCTGGCTGGGGTAGCCTGGGAGGGGTGGCAGGGGATGGGGAGAGTGTCTCAGCACAGGGCACCCAGGCTGTCTGGCCAGAAGGGCTTGGAGGGGGCTGTGGGGTTCCAGACCAGGGATGGAAGAAACAACCCGAGGTGGAGACAGGGGCCTCAGACCAAGGATAGGCCCCCCACCTGCCCTTCCCCCCATTCCCGCCTCCTCCCCCCATCACAGCTAACCTGTCCCCAGTGCCCACTCCTCATCTTCAGGACCTTCAGGACCAGCAGCTGGGAGGGTGGTGGGCTCGGGCTCCATGACCTACAGTGGTGTGGGCACTCAGGATGAGTGCGTGGGGTACAGACAGGGACGGCTGGACCCCAGGGTGGACGATGGCTGCCCGGTGGGGGTGCTGGGCCCGAGGGAGGCATGCAGGACTGTGGGGTGCTGAGGGGCATGGGCAGGGCATGGGGGTTCTGGGCGCTTCCAGTGTGTGCAGGACCGGGAGTGTGCGGGTTGGGTGCGGGTCAGGTATCAGGGTGGTGGGGGTCAGAGGTGCTGACTGGTGTGTGGGCCTGCGGGGGTCGTGTGCACAGGCCAGGTGGGGGGGGGGGCCAGGCGCGGTGGGCGGTCAGGTCTGAGGCTCGGGTGCAGTCAGGTGCGCAGGGCGGGGCGAGGCGGGCGGTCAGGTGCCGGCCAGGTGGCAGTCAGGTGTGGCTCAGGTGAGCGGGGTGGGGTGGGGGTGGGGAGGGGGTCAGGTGCCGGCCAGGTGCCAGCCAGGCGCGGCTCAGGTGCAGCTCAGGCGCAGTCAGGCGCAGGCCAGGGTGATGGCCTGCGCGTGCCCTCCCGGGAGCGAGGGGGCGCTGTGGCCGGGTGCGCGTGGGCCGTGCGCGCCCCTCCTTCCGCCCGCGGCCCCGGAAGCGGCGATGGCGCGGAATGTGCTGTGAGTTGGGGTGCGGGGCGCGGTCACGGTCACCGTCACGGTCACGCGGGGCGCAGGGACCCCGGGCCCGGGAGCGGGTGCGTGCGGTCCGAGCCTGGCGTCCCAGCTGTCCGCGCCGCCGCCCCATTTGGCCGCTTCGCAGGCGTCCCTGGCGTCCTCGCGCAAAAGGACGGCCACCCTCCGTCGTGTCTCTCGGGGGTGGGGGGGGAGGGCCCGTGCTGAAGTCTCCACTAGTCCCCCCTCGCTCCACCCTGCGTTCGCCCCCCGCCCCTGTCTGCCCCGAATTTAGGCAGGAAACACTCATGCTCCTCGGTGAACACGAGGGACCCCATGAACGAATGAATGAATGGATGCATGTCGGCCCCCGGGGGGTCTCGGGCAGGGACGTGTTGTGGCCGCGTCGAGCCGGTGCATCCCGTGCAGGTGCCCGTGGAGAGCGGGTGGGGGCCCGGGTGTAGATTCAGGGAGCGGGAGGGCCCCCATCAGCTCCGAAAGAGGTGCGGGGCATGTGGGGCTCGGCCTCCACTGGGACCCCCGCCCTCCGTTCTGGAGGAACTAAGCTCCAAATGAGGGCCCCCCTCCCGGGGCCAGGGGCCGTGGGGCGGGGAGAGAAACCAGGGCAGGCGCTGGGCCGCCAGTCCACGTGTGCACTCACTGGCCAGGGAGGTCAGGGGGGAGCGGGCAGGAGAGATGTCATGGAGAGATGGAGAGATGGGTGGGGTGAGGGGGAGGGAGAGGGTGGGATCACAGTGAGTCATCCTCAGGGCCACGGGGAGGTGGGCTGGGGGCAGCGAGCCAGGTGGCTGTGTTTGGAGGAGGGAGGAGAAATGCAGAGTCCTCTTGAGGTCTGTGAAGTTGAGGTGCTTGACGTGGTGCTGGCCTCGGGGATGGGATGTGGGCCCGAGGCCTGGGAGAGCTGTGTTCTGGAACCAGGGGGAGGGCGGTCAGCAGTGCTGGTTGCTCAGAGCCCAAGGGTCCCAGGCCTCTGGCCAGGCCTTGGGACTGGGCTGCTGCTCAGTGTTGGGGGAGGACGGAAGGTTTGGGAGACCCTGCCCTCGAGAGCAGTAGCGAGACTCAGCCCCGCACACTGGGCCTCTCTCCACCCCAGAGAGTGCACCCTTCAGGCCCCAGACCCTGGTGGCTCAGAGAGATTGAGGGATCTGAGCCAGCGCCCCCATTTCCACAGTTACCCAGTGGGCTCAGCCTTTGCCCCCCTGCAGTGCCCTAGCTGATCTCCAGGGGAATAAGGGAGCCCCTTGGGTGGCCTGCGTGGCCTGGACTCCCAAGAGGGTAAAGCCAGGCAGGTCCTTTGCCTCTGGGGCCCTGGGAGGGCAAGCCCTGTGGCCAGGCTGTGCCCAAAGAAGTTCTGCCGGGGCGGCTGTCACCTGCTGCCCTGGTCACCGCAGACCCCGGGCAGACGTTACCCAGCCGTTCAGTTCAGCAGCCCAAGGTGCTTCCAGCGCCCCAGTCTGTGCCAGGGGGCCAGAGCCCTGCCCTTGGAGAGCCTCAGCCGCTCCTGCCCCGGGCGCCCGCTCAGCCCTGCTTCTTTCAGGACTCCCCACCCAGGTGCTCTGATCTTTGGCCCTCCACGTCCTCCCCAGACTTGTGAGGCTGAGGACCAGCGTGGAATTTGGCCTCAGTGAACCCCTTCCATGGTGCTGGGTGCTCCCCAAGACCAGGGGCTACATGCAGTGCTACATGGTGGTCACCAGGGGTACAGGCGAGACCCTCAATGGCAGCCTGTGCCCCTGCACCCACCCTCCACCAAGACCTGCCCCCTGGGCTCTTGGCAGACCCCCGGCCCCCTCTCAGACCCTGCAGACTTGGGGCCCCTCCCTCACCCCAGCCCTGTGGCCTAGTTGGGTGCAGTTGGCAGTGGTCCTCCCTGCCCCCCAACTCAACCCAGAGCACTGGGCCAGTTGGTGGGGGCACCCACACCTTTCTTGCTGCCTCTGCTTGCTTGGGGGGTTTTCGGGGTGGGGGAGGTTGGGGACTGCAAACGCTGTTTTCCTGAGCTGCTGATTCCGCGTTCCTCGCTCTCCCTTCATGGAGGGGCGGGCGCTCCCCCACCCTCAGGGAGAGTGGCGTGACCCTGTCCCTGCGGGGTTAAGCCAGCGTCAGAAGCAAGCTGGTTCTGTGAGATTCCACCTCACCTGAGCAGAAGGGAAGGTGGTGATTCGTGCTGTCTGCAGCCTGCCCATGTGGGGCCCAGTCCTGGGACGAATGACAGCCATGCGGGGGCCGCGTGCCTGCGGGTCCGTCACTTTGAACAAACATGTCTCTGAGCCTCGCCGCCAGCCTGTTTGGGGGGGTGGGGTGGGCACATGCTCTGCTGGCTTCTGTTTATTTTTCGAATCGTTCATTGGCCTTTGGAAAAGGCCTTGGGGGTCAACGGCCCATGCTACCCCGAGTTGATGCTGGGGACGGGGGAACTGGCCACCCACACAGGGTAGAGCCATGTGGTGAGCGAAGGGGGCTGCAGGGACCTCGGGCGATGGCCTGGGAGAGCTGCCCCCCTTTGCTCCCTGCCCCTGCTGACGTGGGTGAACAGATGGGGGCCAGCAGGGGTGTCCTCGAGAGTCGCATGTTCTGAGTGTGATGTAGACACACGTCTCCCTCACAGATACCCGCTGTACCAGCTGGGCAACCCCCAGCTGCGCGTCTTCCGCACCAACTTCTTCATTCAGCTGGTGCGGCCCGGCACGGCCCAGCCCGAGGATACTGTGCAGTTCCGGATCCCCATGGAGTAAGCCCCCTAGGAATTTGGGCTGGGGAGTGCCCCTGAGGCCCTGCAGTCCTGGCCATGTCACGGAACCGGCTCACAAGTGGGGCTTCTTCCTGCTGTGAAAATCCTGCTGGGCTCTGCAAATATTGACTGAGGGCCTGGTGTTTGCAGAGCCTGGGGGGAGCCTGCACTGGCCTCGCCTCCCCGCTCCTTCCACCTGGGGCAGCCTAGTCAGAGCCTGAGAGTCCTCTTCTTTTCTTGACTGAACCTCACTGCTCTTCCCGGGAGGCTGGGCCCTGACTCCAGAGCTGCTCACCCCCACCTCCAAAACCTGAGTCCTCCAGGTGGTGCCTTCACAGAGGCCCCCGGGTACCCAAGGATGCACCTCCCTGTCACGCATACTGCAGGGTGCTGCTCTGAAGTCTGAGGATGTGACTGTCCCAGGCCAGGGCCCTGCTGTCAGCCTTCTGAGGTGGGGGCAGGAGAGGCCGAGGGCCCATTTCTGATGCCCGTTAAGGTGCACAGGGAACGGGGACCTAACCCACCAACGCCTCGACCATCATTTGTAGGAAAGGACCTCGTGGCAGGCGAGTTGCTGCAGAGCGGGCCTCCCCAGCACTGCAGACAGGATAGGCCACAGCAGGCTGTGCTCCTGGCAGCCAAGGGCATTCACAGGCTGTCCCTGCCCTCGGGAGAGCTCCGCCCGGGGGCTTAGCCCCTGTGAGCATGGACCAGTGGGAGGGTGAATGGAACTGGGGGCCTGGTCCCTCCGTCACCCCCACACTGATATGTCGAGGATGGGAGAGGGCTGGGCGGGGACCAGTGGCCTCAGCCCTGGCTTCCCCCTGGTGCAGGGATGAGGCTGTGCCCCTACCGCCCCCACCCTGAGCCCTCAGTCCAGCACCTCTCCCCCGTCGGCAGGCTGCTTTTTGTCTCAGCCTGGTTCAGACGTCTTTTTCTTTTCCTTTACGCAGGATGACCAGGGTGGACCTCAGGAATTATCTAGAGCGTATTTACAACGTGCCCGTGGCTGCCGTGCGGACGAGAGTGCAGCACGGTGCGTGCCTGCCAGGGCGGGCTATGCCCTGTCACGCGTGTGGGCTCTCCCCCAGGCTGCCCCACATCGCTGCCCCATGTCCTCCTTGCAGCCACTCCATGGGGTCTGGTTCTTGGCACTAGAGGAAACTGAGGCCCAAGGGTTGAGGCGACGTCCCGGGGTCACACTTCCCGGGGCACAGCTGGGATTAGCACCCGGGTGGGCCGGCCCCACAGGCTGCTCTGAGCACGGCGCCGGACCTTGGCCCCCCAGCCCGCCAGCCCCCACAGCCGCTTCCCCTCTGCCGCGGAGGGAGGTCGGGTCAGCAGAGTGCTTTCTTCATTCCCCCAGCCCGTTCTCACTCCTTCCTGTTGACCCGGTTCCCCCCGCGCTGTAAATCTGACGACCTTCAGTCTGAAGCGAGGATGGCCAGCGCCAGCGAGGGCTGCTGCCCCGGCAAATGGGAGAGATCGGTTTCCTGAGTTATTTTAGACACGTGCAGGTTTTTAGCAGAGCGGAGGTCTGCGGCGGTGGCGGTCGCTCTCTGAGCGTGGTGTGTACGTTTGAGACAGGCACATTCAGGGTGTGACACGTTGTCATCTGTGGGGACCCACTAGTTCCGACACGTTTCCCTCTCGAGAAAGTGGGTTCCTGGGTTGGTTGAACTAGAAGTTTTGTGCTGGGAGTAAAGTACCCCCCCCCACAGGTTCCAACAGGAAGAGGGATCATAGGAACGTCAGGATCAAAAAGCCAGACTACAAGGTGGCTTATGTGCAACTGGTGAGTGAGCCTCGGGGCAGAGTCTCGGTCCCAGGCTAAGCTACCACTCCGAGACCTTGGTGGAGGGCCGTGACCTTGGTGGAGGGCCGTGTTTGTGCAGCAGCTGCTGCCCAGGGGCCCGGGAGGCCTCGAGAGGCAGGATCTCAAGGCCCATGGCTGGGGCAGAGCCTGCCCTTGGTTCTAGTGCACAGTGAACCCCGAGAGAAGCTGGGGGTCAAAGTGCACTTCATCCCGGGGAGGGAGACGGGTGAGGGGCATTTTGGAACTTCTGGGTGGCCAGCCTTGTGGTGCCTGTGGACTGTGACGTGCTGTGGGCAGAGGCAGGGGCCACCCGGGCCTGGGGGATTTGGGCTCAGACAGAAACCCAAACGTGCCAAGCGTTGAAGGCTCCTGGCCCTGGAGAGCCTATCCTTGGACGGGCCCAGGCCAGGAGGCAGTTAATGCCATGGGTTAGAAGTTGCTGCAGGGGGACCGGTTTGGTGTGTCCCAGGGTCCTAGCTGAGCCCCTTCCCCTCTGGACTGTATTGTGGGGCTCTGGCACATTCTGCCAGGTCCTCTGTACTCTGCTCCGTGCCTGGCTGGGGCTCCGGGAAGAGGGGCTGGCACCCCGTCCGAGGCTTCACTGACGAAACCCTGAGCTGCCAAGGGTAGGATGCACATTTGCAAATCCCCGCCAGGCGACCCCAGACTCCCTCTCAACCGAGAATGGGCCGCCACTGTGGGCGTCAAGGCCCGTGGTCTCCAGGCAAGATGGCCTCTGACCCGGCGGGTGGCCTCTGTGGAGACCTTCCAGGGACGGCCGCCTGCCCCGCAGGGCCCATTAACAGCCCCCCACAGTTTGAAACCGCGGGGGGCTTCCTCTGATTTCTTTGGTCTCCGTGTCTACAGCCTGAGCGGGAGCCGGGCAGCGGCGGCTGGCCGCTAGATGGCAGTAGCGCTATTTGTGGAAACAGCCTCGGCCGCCAACCTCTTCTGGGCGTCAGGAGGCAGTTTGTTAAAAGACCAAGTTAGTGGGGCAGTTTTTCTGAAAAACAGCCCCAGTTGTTCCAAACAGGGGCCCCCGTCATTATTTGGCCTGATATTTGCTGTGCGTAAAATCTGCCAATCCAAGTGGAGAGAGCTGCGCTGGCCTTATAAAGACGCCTGTGTCCTCTGGGCTGGACCGGGCCATCTGTCTTTGTCATGGCACGCGGGGTGACATCCCATATGGCGGCATTCGCCACGAGGCCCTTCAGCAGGCGAGCTATGGTTACAAGTGGCTTTTGAGTCATCCGAGCCCTCGCATTTTTCCCCGGGCCCCACCTCACTCTGAAAACTGAACTCAGCAGCGCTTAGATCCGCTGTCTGCAGCTGCCGCTGCTGCCTTTCTTCCTCCGTGAAATCGGGGCCGCGAGAGACGAGGCAGCGCAACTGGGAGCAGAGTCCCCGCTGGGCACGATTCCTGCCAGGCCAGAACTAAATGTGTAACGGACCCCCCCAACTCCAGCAGATCTGTGCCTGCCCCTCTGAAGAGGTCCCTTCCCTGTCCCCCGTCTACCAAGACCGTCCTCTCCCAGTGTGTCCCTTCGGTCCCGGCCCGGGGCCTCTAATAAGAGAGCTAATTGTAAAGCACACAGAGAGGCAAGCAGAAAGAGAAATTAAATTACCGAATTTACTTTGAGTTGGCTGCTGCAGAGAAGCCGTCTGCATGGTGGGAGTCCCACATTTTTCCCAACAACCTGATAAACACCCCTTTGGCCCTGAGTCCCAGGGCCCTTGCAGGCGCCTAGTCCCCCACACAACAGAAAGAGCATTGACATGCCACGTGGAGCCCATGCGTGTCACAGAGCTGCTGGGCAAACAGCGCGTGGCCCGTCGCCTCGGGCGCAGACAGTGGCTGAGGGGCTCTCAGGACCCCCGCCATGGCCAGTTCCTTCCCTGTTCATCATGATATTTTTCCCCTTTCCTGTTCTTTTCCAGTCAGCTTGCTCTCCTCTCTGGAAGGGCTGAGGGTTTTATTTTTGAGAGTACAAAGTGGATTATCTAGAAAGGGGACCCCCCCCACCCTGGGAAGCTTCAGCTGGCACCCACCAATGGCTCTCGTCTCAGGGGAGACACGAAGCATTTCTCTCCCTGGCTTCCTCTGTTTTTTCCCAAGCTATTGCAAATTGCCTCTTTGTATTTATATTTAAAATGTCATTTTGGGTTCCCCCACCTCAGAAAACTAGCAGAATCACCTCGATATATGAAACATAAATCCCCTGTTCTGGGCAGTCTGCCCTGCATGTAAACCATTGCCCTCTGGTATTTTAAAAAAGAAAAAAAAAAAATGCAGTTTTGAAATGTGTAAGATAATCCCCCTGCAGGCTGGCTACCGCGCGTGCACCGTCGCTGCTTTTCATCACTCGGGGCCTGCACTCCGCGCCATGCAATCAGAATTTATAAACCTCCCGTTCTCGGGGTGGAGGACGTGGGCTGTTTCAGATCACGCTTGGCCGCCTGCCCAAGTCCAAATTTCTTTACAAAACAAGGGTCTGCAGGAACCCAGCGCACTTTGCTGATTTTACTTATTAAAATTTTCCAGATACGGAGGCCGTCCTCCGTCCTTTGCCCGCGTCTGGAGACAGACGTGCGGCCCGAGAGCTATCCGGCGCCCTCCCCTCCCCTCCCCGCCCTTATCTCCAGAGCTGCTCCGTGATAGTCAGCAAATAGCTGAAACCGCCCCTCGTGCTTGCTTAGGTCCCCAGAGAGCAAGCCATCCTGCCTCCTCCACGTGAGCAGGGGGGCCAGGCTGGTACCCCGGCCCGTGTGTCCGGGGGTCTGGGTTGAGACTTGGCCAACACTGACATTCTGAACTTTGAAAGGTGTAAAACTAGCTAATTTGCAAAGCCGGTCTTGATACATAGAGTCTGCATCTGTACGTTTCTGTGTACATTATATGCATTTTATTTGCCAAGCTCCGAGCCGGGAGGAGGGGGTAGTTTGTCCTGTGGGTAAAGGCCTTTAGGTATTGTGCAGGGAAAAAGTTTCAGCGTGGCGCTGGACGTGGCACCACTGCTCCACCCCTCCGCCCGCCCGGGCTGCCCCACGCGGTAGATCGGTGCTTTGCTGGGCTGCTGTTAATGAGGCCCTGACCAGTGGAGACTGCACTCCGCCAGGAGATAATGTCGATGAAAAGGGGCCTTGTCGCAGAGTAATGGTTTCCCGCTGCTAGATAAAAGCTGGAGAACCGGGGGGCCTGCTGAGATGTTTATTTTCCAGGCAGGGACATTGCTCCAGAGACGCTGGCCCTGTGTCTGTCCCGCGGGCGTGGGTCAGGCCTGCCACAGGGGCGGGTTCTGCCCACCCCTCCTCATCTCAGAACACGTGGCGGCTGCTCGGGGGTCTCCACGCGGTGTGGGAGCCGGGCTCTGTGCTGGAGTGTCGGCCTTTTCTCCCTAGGCGCACGGACAGACCTTCACATTCCCAGACCTGTTTCCTGAGAAGAAGCAGAGTCCTGACGGCAGCACGGGGGACGAGGACATCCAGGACAGGCTCCTGGAAGAGCAGAGGCAGCGGCAGAGCCGCGACCCCCGGCGCGGTGGCGTCCCCAACTGGTTTGGCCTGTGATGGGCCCCGGCTCTGACAGCTCAAATAAAAGTCCTGCGTGTGGAGAAAGGCCCACCGGCTCTGCTTCCTCTGTTCCCTCGGACCCCCGTCTCCCCGCAGCAGGGCTGAGGCCTCGCCTGCGAGTTGTGGGTGCACCCCACATCCCCAGAGCGCACACGGCAGCCTGGCCGCGCTCTGCCTGGAAGCCACTGTGCACCAACGGGCAGCGGGTGGGCCCTGGTGACCACTGGGCTCTGGCTCTGGACCTAAGGCGAGACCGGGACCCCTGGGGGCAGACGGGCAGGCTAGGAACCACATTCCTGAAGGGGGGATGAGACCTGTGGACAGCACCCAGAAAGTAATCCTGAGCAGCTGCACTTAAAATTCTGTGTTGTGAGGAGGGGTCGGCGTGAGCACAGAGGGCAGAGGGCAGGGTGGTGGGTAGGGTGAGTGTGGGCAGCACAGGGAGGGAGCCCATCCAGGCAGAGGTTCTGGTGTGGTGCGGGGAGGGGGCTGCTGGGGAACCACAGGAGGTGCTGTTCAGGAGAGAGGCAGTGATCGGTGCCGCCGAGGGCTGGAGGCCGGGGGCCCCGATCTGGGAAGTGCCGGGTCTGAAGCCCCGAATGTAGGGAGTGGGGCGTAATCAGTGGTGAGCAGCACCGTGCGGGATGGACGAGGTGGGGAGGGAGAGGGCCTCGGGAGACCCGTGGCAGGTGGGGTTTGAGATGGCTGTGTCCAGGTGGCCTGGTTCCCTGTGTCTCAGCTTCCTAAGATCTGTCTGCAGCTCTCTTGTTTTTAATCGAGCTTTGCACTAAAAGCCCCACTGGGCACCCCCGGAGATGCTGGCACACGGCAGCTGCTCCCTGAATGCGCATAGAAGGAATGAAGCCCTGTGGTTTGCTAGAACCGTCTATGTGAGTGCATCTGCCTGTAGGTTTGATGCTGAGAGAGAGGTTGGACCTAGAGATTTGGGGAGCGAGCAAGAAAGGATCGTCGGCCTGCTCCAGGGAATGGGGCCACGTCGCCTGGGGTGGGACACAGATGCCACAAGGCCTCAGGCCCCCGGAACCCCATGCTGGAGTGCTGCCTGCTGTGGTCTGAGCCAGGCCCTGGCTCTTCCCTCCGTGGGGGGCTGCCTCCGGGGGCCTTGCGAGGAGAGACGGAAGTGGGGAGCTGGCTCAGCCACCCCCTCCACCCCGAGGGACAGCCGGACAGCGGGTCAGAGCCGTCACGTAGGCCTCGCAGCTCCTCTCCGCTGGGAGGGTGAAGGTCCGGGCAAACGCCACCCTTCAGTGTTGATTTAAAGTGATGGGGAAGGTCCGGAAGGAGACTGGAGGACGGAATCAACGGTATTTTCCTTAGAGAAATAATTCATGGGGCCCCGCGGCCCTGAGGACCCCAACTCAAGGCCAGAGAGGAATCCCATCCTTCATCCACTGCACGTCCAGTACTGACCGCCCGCACACCCCCAGACACAGCCCCAGCTCCTCCAGCTGGCCTCAGCCCGCAGACCCTCCCCGCAGCCCACCCAAGGCTCCTCTGTCCTTGCTGTGGCCCCAGCGTCCCTCCGTGGGCCTGGGCATCCGCTGCTGCTGCTCCCACCAGGGAAGAGGAGGGGGCCGTGAGCTGCAGTGTCCTGGTCTTCCCAGCACCCCCAGGGCCGGCAGAGCCCCTTCCCTACCCAGCGACAGTGCCGGTGGGTGTGAGGGTGGAAAGGAAGGCGCTTTGAGACAGGGCTCTGCGGTGAGGGGAGGGAGAGCCGGGAGACCAGCGAGTGCTGCGTGGGGGTCTGCCCTGCAGGACGCTCCGGAGTCCAGGAAGGGGGCCTTCAGCTGGAGGGCAGACCCACCCCACCCCCAGGCACAGAGCATTGAGAGGGGGCTGGCTAGACCCCCTTCTCCCGGCTGCTCCCTCACCTGAGGCTTGGGGAGGGAGAGGACCAGTGTCTTTGGAGGTCCGTCTCTGTACCGAAGACAAGGAGCCCTACGGTTGTCTTCTCCATGGCTCAGTTTCCGCCTTTTCTTGCACCACTAGGAGATGGTGGTCCAGACTTCTGGTCCCAGCAGCTCACCCCAGGGTGCTTCCCCAGGCCTGGACACCGGAGGAGGGTCTCCCACGGGCCCCCTAGCCTGGCAAGACCCCCCCTGTGACCCAAATAGCCTGTCGGCTTCTGCAGAGAGGACTAGGGTAGACACACTTTTGCTGGACATCCTCACAAGGGGCCAGGAACGGGAGGGGCCCTGGGGGCTCCCCGTCTTGTGCGGATGGTCCTGCTGGGAGCCCCCAGGCCAGCTCCTGGGGGCAAGTAAAGGGACGGAGGGAGCAAGAGCCCACAGTGCTGCCCCCCACGCGCCCCCATCGTCTACGATGTTCCTTTGTCCCCGTGTGTGTGGGTGATCTATTTACTTTGCAAGGGGGAATGTGATACCCAGGCAACTCGAGGTTGCAGCAGGCAGAGGCCTTCGGGGAAGGGGCTGCGGGGCGGGGGCCGCCTGCCTGGCCCCTGGGGGCTGCGCCGGGCTCTGCAGGAGCCGGACGGCCTCATTCCTGGTCTGCGCTGATGAGTTATGGCTGCAGCAGGCCCTGCGCAGTGGCCCACGGGGACGGTCTCAGACCCCCCAGCAGCTCCGGGTGAGGCCCAGCCGCCCAGGGCCACCGGGATGGAACGGAAACCCATCTGGCCACAGTCTCTCCATCAGCGTCTGGTTTTCCTCTTCCAGGGCCGGCGAGTCCTCCCTGAGGCTGCATCACGTTGTCATCCCAGCTCCAAAGGCTTCGCCTAAGTAACTGAGTGCAGGTGACAGCCCAGGAGCTGGGGAGGGGCCCCCACCCCACCCTCCTGGCCTGGCCCTCTGCTGAGAAGAGCCCACATGGCTTCTGCAGCCTGGAGCCCCAAGTCAAATTTGAGGGCGTCTGCCCACCGGAGTCTCCCTGTCTTCTGGTCTCTGTGCACCCTCCCCAGCCCCGACAGGGCCTCCAGCCCCTAGCAGGGGACCCAGGCCCGGGGACACAGCAGTTCCTCTTGTTCCCCACACCCAGGTCTTAAAACACAGAGGAAACTAAAGAACTCGGGGCCCTGAAGATAGCTGTGGTGTGACCTGACCTCGGGGCTCCCCTCCCACCTTCTGACTTGCATATGATGCTCAACTCTGTTAGTGAATGAATGAATGAATGAGTCTGTGAGTGAGTACATGAGTGAATAAATTCAGCAAGTCGGCTCAGCCAGGCAGGAGAGCCCCGCCGTCCTGGGAGTCTGAGAGTTGGGTCAGGCCTGGGTGACGTGCCTGGCCGGGCACCTCTGCCACCGGTCACTGTTTTCACGGAAGCTGGAGGCTGCCACTCCTGACTTCCGGCTGGACTGACGCACTTGCCTCGCTCCCATCGCACAGGGCAGGAAGGGCTGGGCGTGGGAAGTTCTTTCTTATTTTCAAGCAGATTTATTGAGATATAGTTCACATACCCTACATTCCACCCATTGAAAGGGTCTCACTCGATGTCCTTTAGTTTATTCACAGTTGCATATCTACCCCTGTGATCGACGTTAAAACATTTTCATGATGCCCGAAAGCACGCAGCTCCCCTTCGTGGGCACTCCCCAATCCCCCGCCCCCAGCTCCCGCCAGCAGAGTCTGCTTTCCGTCTCTGTGGATTTGCCTATTCTAGACATTTCATAGAAATGGAATCTGCACCATGTGGTCTCTTATGATGGCCTCTTTCATTCAGCATCATGCCCTCCAGGGTCGTTCATGTGGTGGCGGGTGTCAGAACTTCCTTTTTAAGGCTGAGTAATATTCCACATGTGTATGGACCACATTTTGTACATCTGATTGTCTGTGGATGGATGCTTGTGTGACCGGGCACAGTGTGTGCTGTTCCTACATGTCGGAAGGCCTCAGGCTGATCCCTGAGTCACCGTGCATGCGGGTGACTGTCCCATCTTTGTGACTGACTGATGTCCCTTCAGGGCAAAGAATCCTCCTCTATGCACGTGTCCACCCTCTCGTAGCGCTGAGCTAGGACTCTTTCCATGGCAGACACAGCGTGCTCTGCGTTCCACGTCATGCGCCAGGCGCCCACACTGCAGGGAGGCCCCTCCGTTCCTGCCAGTGGCCCATGCTCCAGCCTCTCCTGGCCCCTGGGACACCCAGGCTTCCTGGGTGAAAGGGAAAAGGGGTTCAAGGGGCTCGGTCTCCTTCCCAGGACCCTCTCTCAAGGTTTCCACCCATCTTAGCCTAGAGGGAGCTGCACCCCATAGGGCTCAGTCCTGGACCCCTGAGATGCCCGCAGGGACACAGGGCCGCCAGCCTCAGAAGCAGCCAGCCCAGGACCGCTCCCCACGTGGCCCGTGGGCAACCTGTTCAGCATCTGCATTTACTCCTTCCCGGCTGAGGTCACCCCCAGCACCAATCCCCCCAAATCCCTTCATTACTTCTCTGTAAATAGGGCTTTTCCTAGTCAAAATAATCAGCATTTTCTTTGTTGCTCCCACATCTGGCTTCGATTGGCCCCAGCCTCCTCGGATGGATGCTACAGCCCTGACGTTATGACGGAGGGAGGAAAGACCCGCCTGCTCTCCCTCCGCACGAGGCCAGGCCTCGGGGGGTGGGGGGACCCCCACCCCTCTCCCTGCACATCTGCGCTCCCTGGCCGGTCTGGCTCTGCAGGGCGGGTCCCTAGTTCCGTCTTTTCAGAGTTGGGGCCTGGGGGGCTCCCCAATGCTCCCTTCTCCCCCTCTCTGCCACTCCCACAGCCTCCACTGGGGTCCCCGGCAGATGCACATGGCATGTGCTTCGCCCCGTTGGTGTCCCTCACCCCCAGAACAGAGCAGGCCATTTCGTCCTCCCCTCCAGAATCTTTGCCATCCCCTCTCTCTGAGAAACCTAAGACAGGGAAGATTCCCAAAGCTCCCCGGCCCTTCTTCATGGAAGTCAGAGGAAGTCAAGTGAGGAGGGTCCCCTGTCTGCCCATGCCCTGCAAGGATAGGGGTCCGCGGGTCAGAGGCTGGGCCGAGCCACCCTCACTCCCTTGGGAAGCTCCAGGCTGGGTGATGGTAGGCCCGTTGGTTCCAA